ATATTAATCAAAATTAAGCAAAATAATATTCTACATAGTCCTAATAAAGTATATACTCTGACAACCCGGTTTCCTAACAGAAAATCCAACACAGCTTCCAACGTTTATATCAGGTGCAGAAAAGCTTTAATTCCCCCTTCTCAAAGTGATTAACATGTTTGAGTTTGCTTTATACACTAAAATTAAATTTATTAATAACATAATGAATATAAAGTAAGAAGTGATGTTCCGATTTTCCAGGTACGTCCATTTGCTAACGCATTGTAGTATAGTCAGCTATTGTAAGTAAGTTTTGTATTCATACTATAGGTCAATTTAGCTTACTTTTCAAGATATTGTAGCTTAAGCTTTGTTTACGCTACGCACTTTCAACACAGCGATTAGAGAACTGTTTTGAACCAAAAGTGTTCACATTAGGTGCTTAACGTCTCGTAAGGAAATGTGTCAGTAGTAACATAGAAATGTAGCCTATCGAAACATTATTAAGCCGTTTCAATTTCAATAGATAGGCAAACTTTTGGAATTTTTATAAATATATATCCTATATGACTTATAAAAGTAATATTCTCAATTTGAATGCAAGAAAAACTTATGGTAAATCTGGGGTAACTTTTTTAACCGAGATTCAGTTTTACTGCAATTTTCATTTTTGATTGGTAAATCTGTATAACACTCGAGATTGATGTATAACACTAGAGACTTATTTATAACACTCTAGATATTTTGCGAGAGTAGCAAGATTACCCTAAAATTAACAGCTGTTTTATGTGACGACAAATAGATTGTGATTTGATTCGATATATTGAGTTATGAAAAATATAAATATCTACTAACATAACTACAACAATTTTAGACTTGTCGAGAATTTACGAGAATAAATCTAGATTGAGTCCAGACTTGCCAATCGAAAACGCCATTAGTTTAAAATTAAGATGACTGACACAATTTCTAAATTTATTTATTAACGAATAAAAATTTATTCAATATACAAAAAAAACAAAATCAAATGACAACATATACAAAAAATAAAATGTTTATATTGTATTTATCTAGTGGTCAGTCCAAGAATTCACTTGATTAACGTATTAACTTAGAGTTTGAAGATCTGCTCACTGTTACCATCCTTTTCTATGCCAAATTGATTTTTTTATAGTTGGATATAAACTTCAAACCAAATTAGTAAATCTACATATAAATATTTTTAAAAATATAATTAATCCAATTTGTTGCTCCATTTATACACTCCATCTGTAAATATTTCTGTATTAAAATGTGCAATATACACACTTGAAATATGCACATGTAAAATTTATCAGAAAATAATCACTATCAATAAGAATCAATGTACTTCCAAACGCAATAAAGTGCTTGGAAATCACATCGACTAACAAAAATTTTGATCCCGATGATTTACGAATGGTTTTGAAAAGGGGCATTACAGTGTAAACCATCTCATTAAATCTTCTTTAAAGTTAAATACCGCAAAGCCCCTAGTGTGAACAGGTTCTAAAGTTGTGAATTAAATACACTAATAAAAATTACAAACGCCATCTAACGTCCACATAAAGAACTGGTACAATTTACTTGTTGTTGGTTGTTGTTTCACATGAGAATTTCATGCTTATAAGCCTGATATCTCAAAAACTTGGCTTGATTAACATGTAGTGTAATGTTATAAGTTCTTTAGAACAGCAGACATTACTATGGTTATCTGTTATCGAATAGAGGTATCTTGTAAATCGGAATTGCGTCAACTAAGATACAATATATTCAATATACTATGACTGATTATTTTTTACTTTTACACTAACAACTCTAATTTCCACAAGTTCCGTGCTACGTTGATTTCATAAATACTTCATAGTTTCCAACTGTAAACATACAATAGAAACAAAACAGCTCTACTCTGTTTTCGTAAAAATATTTGTCTATTTAGTTTAGAAATCTGCATTTATCATACAGTTTATATGTCTATTTCTTTTTTTTTTTTTTGTTTTTGTTTACTGTAATTTGTCTATATACTGTGATATTGATACTTTTAAGTTTAATTATTTTTCTAGTTACTCCGGGCTTGTGCGTGTCCAAGTTTTAGAGTGTATTTGTTATATTACTGTGTAATCAAGCCATTCTGCATAATACTTCATCAAGCTGAGTTTTGTTTTAAATTTATTTAACATTTTGTGTTAAATGTATCGTTTGAAAAGTTTTACGTATTGTAATTAAATAGAATCAATAAAATTTTTATATTAATTATAAATTCAACATGAAAAATGCTTATAAGAATATAAACAAAACAAACTTACTTCTTTAGTGAGTACTTGAAAAAATGATAAAAATTTAATTTTTAATTTATTTAATTTGAAAATGTTCTGATTTTGTATTGTAATTCAATCCCATCTAACTACCTATTTTAATAAACGCCTTTGTATACCTATAGTACCTACATTGAAGTTAAAAAAAATGATTAATTAATTTTTTTGCTATAATACATTAGCAATAAATTGAACGGATTTATTTAAAAAATCTGATTAATTTTTGCTTGTAGTATCAGATTCATACAATGCCATTATTTAATTAATCCTTAATTTTAAATTACAAATTTAATATAGAAAAAATAAAAAAAAATTTAAAGTTCAAATAATTCAAACAATTTCATATTCCATATATATTAGATATAAAACTTAATAAAATATATTTCGTCTCCACCAAAAGAACACTTGCTAGCTTACACTAGCTAGTTTACACTAGCTAGCCTACATTGAAAACAATAATACTAGCTAACATTAGATCTTGAAGTGACACCGCCCACACCAGTTGATAGAAAAAATTGCCAAACTTACCAATTTATTAATTTCTTTTGCTTGAGATTGAATCGAAAATTTTAGCAATATATTAAACTCTTAGTTTTCTTACTTAACCTTTAAAACTATAAATAAATAATCTAATAACTATGAAAAATTTGATATGATATTCATTTATTTTGTTATAATTATTTATTTGTAAACACATTGACAAACTAATGCCTTGTTTTCATTAGTCATTCTAAATGACAATTATATTTGACTGGTGTGTCAAATGTGTTTTCATTACATGACAGAAATGCAAATATGATATCATATGACTACCCGTTTTCATTATACTGACAATATTTGACATTGAAAATGACATAGTGAAAACGAGGCATAAGCATTTGGCAAAATTCTGCAGCGTTGCCAACTTACCAACTTATATGTGTGTTTAAGCGAGCAAATGATATTTTTTGTAAACACGTTTACGCTGAGAAACATTTCTTATTTAATTTTTACAATTAGCAAATTTAATATTTCAAAATGTTTCTTGTAAACTAATTTAAAAAAAAAACAAAAACATTTATTACTGTCCTAACTTAATAATTGAAAATTTTTAAATACTCGTACAAATCTACATACGTAAAAATCTCTTGCATTACATAAACATTTATATGAGGGTCACTATTTATATTATGAACCTACTAATTACGAAACAATAGTTGGATTTCATTATAGAAAACAATAGTTTTTCATTAAGTCCATATATAATAGCGGCAGTTAGGCGCTTAAAATTGGCTTCTAATAGAAGAAAACAGAGATTACGATTTTGCATCTTCGATGTCGGACAATGAAAATTTGATTAGCTTTATATACATACACATTATATACATACATATTGAAGACATTGTCTCAGAGACACTCGCGTTCCAAATCTATAAACCTGTATATTACAGTTAGAGACGAGACTTAAGCGATAAAAGTGGAAGTGCAATCATCAAGTGAAGGTTTATGCATGCACACTTATCTCGATAAACCACATCGAATATCGTAATAGATAATTTAACTTAAATATTTACAAGTTAATTCTATTTATTCGCTAAAACACATTTTTCAAACCACTGTGAACAACGCAAACCACGATTAAATAGTAAAAATTTCTTAATAAAGTAATGCTCAAAAATGTGAAACTCCCCAGTACAGATCCAATACCCAATACAGACCCAATACAGATAAGAAATATCACTGAACAATCAGTTACACACAAAAGAAGTGATAAACCGGTTAGACTATGTATAATTGTAATATATATAATATATATATATATATATATATATATATATATATATATATATATATACAATATATATAATTACAATTATGTACCACTTTCATTCTCTGGTGAAATCCATTGCATCTAACAATACTTAGAGCTGTCAATGCTCATTATATAAGTAGTGGCCTACATATGATTAATTGTTTATGTGTATTACTTAACTTTCCTGAAGAAATATGGTGTATCATTATTCAATGTTTACATATATATTAGGAAACTGCTTCAAAACTGTTTTTTTTCATACATTGGCTTCACAGTTTTCTTTTCGAGACCTTAAAACAAATATAAAGTATAAAAAATTTATTTAAGTGATATGCGTTTAAAAGTCTTTTAATCTGTTAATTAATCTGTTTTATCCAAACACTTCTATAAAAAATATTTTCTAATTAACGTGCTATCCAACTATTTTACAATATCTTTTAAATACGATTGTTTTTATTCTCAGCATATTATATTATTTATCGCTATTGTTAATTTTTTTGTTTGTCTTTAAGTTTAGAAAGTTTATTATATTTTTATATTTTTGTTCAACAGTACTATTTACATATATACATTTAGTGACAACACTTATGCTTAAATTAGTTATTAACTAAACTAAAAAAAACTAATCCGCAAAGAACTAAATTAGTTTTCTCTGAAAGCAGTTGTCTTAGAACTAACCAGAGTTTATATTAATGTACTATTTTAACTACTTTACGTTCAAGTTTTTACGTTTTATATGTTTTACCTCTAAAAAGTAATTCTAATTAAAAATCTTTACGTTAAATAAGAGTTGAATTAAATTTTTGCTTTGGTTTGTTTAAATTTATTTATAAAACTGTAGAAATATAATATTGAGTAATTAATATTAATACATATTTTGTATGCATATATTACAGGAGGTGCCTCTTATCATCATAATCGTCGTCAAACGTCTGGAAGACATCACGAACGTGATCGATATGAACGCGATCGTGAACGTGATAGAGAACGAGATCGTTACGATCGTATGGATCGGGATAGAGAACGAGAGCGTTTACATGCACGTGAACGCGATTTAATGCATTACGACCTTAACAGCGAAGAACTGCTAGACGAACGCAACTATAGCGTTGATTATCCACCAGCGCCACGTAGTGGTCCGAGTGGTGCAGCCGCTACGCATCATAGCGGTCATGGGCATTTATCACGTGGCGGTCGTCTAGTTGTTGATGATGCTGATCTTATGCTTGAGCGTGATGATCCACGCATGATGGGCGTACGTTATTCAGCAACTGGGGGTACAACAACATCTGGTCGTATTGATCCACGAGATTTACCACCATCAGCACCGACACAACGACGTGGCGCACCCATTGTCGATCGTGATGAATACAGTCCGCACAGAGGTGGTGGGAGTAGTAGGAGAATGCTGAATGCCATGTAGGAATCGTGGATATAGGGGTGGGATCAGATCGATAGCGTAACGACAAGAGAAACCAACATCGATCATGACATTGTTCACAATCAATATGCAAATCAGAAAACGAATTCCAATCAAAAACAAAAACAATTAATACAATTACAAAAACAATATAGTCAACATTATCGTAATTCTAGTCATTTACCCGTACAACGTAGCAATAATCAAAGCTATCAGCAACAATCCTATCATACACAACAAATACAACCAACGCAATCACAAAAACTAGCATTAAGACACAATACTGCAAGTGTTCCTGGACCGAGTAGTTCATATGGTCCAACGACTTTAACAAAAAACACAGATCATTTTCAATTACAATCAACCCACTTACATAGTCACACACAGAAAAAACACACCCAATCACATTCACAATCAGAGCCACCTCAGCTACAACAAATGCAAACGCTTCGAATACGAGGCAGTGAACGCGACTCAGATACACTGGAATATGCCACCTCATCCTTCTCAAATGCCACCGACGCATTAACAAACGCGATACGTAATAAAATCATCGTTGAAGAGGACGAGGAGGACATTTTGAGTAGTGATAGATTTTATTAAAGAGATTTCATGAAGACACTTTAATTTCGAATATTAATTTTCATTTCAATCGAATCAATTAACAACCATTTAGCATGTTTGCATTTCTTTTTAGATATTAACACATATACATATAATATATATATATATATATATATATATGTATATATATATATATATATATATATGTATATTAATATTTGTTTTGATTTAATTAATTTTAAGTATAAAAAAAATGTTGATGAAAAGAATTACAAGAGAACAAGTAACAAAATTTATCGCATTTTTTATAAGTGCCAAATTTTACAAATTTTAAATATAAATTTTATTTATTTATACAAATATAGTTTTTAATTTTCAATATTTTAAGTATATGTTATGCATGGTATATAGAAAATAATTTAATATATAATTAAACTAAAACAAAATAAATAAAAACTTGCTAAGAGAAGCCTAATGTGTCTTAAATTCTATAGCTAATTAAATATATATTTTAAAATTATTTTTTAATACAAAGAATGAAATAAATATAAAAAAACAAAAGAATTTAAAAAATAAATTTATTATAGTTCAATGTAAAAAAAAAATTAAAAAAATAAAACTCAATATATAAATATAAATATATATATAAATGTATATATATGTATATATATATATATACATTTATAAATATATAAATATAAATATATATATAAATGTATATATATATATATATATATATACATAAATACATATGTATAACTAGCAAACGAAAAATAACAAAAATCCTAAAACTCGACAACTGACTGATAATTACGACAAGTTGTCAACTGTTCTTTAAAAGATGTAAAATAATATGAATATAAAAAAAATAATTAAAAGAAATTTATATAAAAAATATATGTGTTTTTATATATGGATATACGTACACATATGAATATAAATATATATCAATATCCGAAGTAAATTTGGATTATGTGTTGTGCATAAATATATATTTAAATGCCCATATAGCTATTGGTATGTTACATATATTTATGGATACGTAGACATTTGTGTACATATATGTATATCTATGTACATTTTTTTACACACATAATAAACATCCATATATATAAATAAATAACTATGAACTGCATAAAATATTTTATGCAACCTGTACTTATATGTGTCAGCTTTAATATTTTAATAATTATGTATGTATATAAATCAATATATATATAACTATACATTAATAAATGTAAGTGAAAAAAAAAAAACAAAAACTAAAAATAAAAAGTTTATTTATTAAAAATTTGAAAAAAGTGGAGTCTACAAAATTTTAAATAATCGTATAATTAATTATATATTTTTTTTAATAAAAATTTTATTATAAAGCGCATTTTATGTATAAAAATTGCTATATTATATATTTGTTATATATATATTTTTTTGTAATTATTATGTAGCTTAGTTTATTTGACTGTGAACACAAAGTGTTTTTAATTTCTACATAATTACAGCACAAAAAAATATTTACGTTTTCATGAAATCTCTTGAATAATTTATATTATATAAAAACAAAAAAAATTATAAAATAGCGACAAACTTTAATTTATTATTTTCTAAATGTTTTTAATTTTCGCCATAAGCACATTAATATTTTTATTGTTAATTTTATATAAATATGTTTATATTGTGGGAATTTTTGATACCATACATATAAAAGTTCTGCAATGAATGTACGGGTATTAGCAATAATAATTAATAATATCTACTCTCTATTTAAAGTATATATGTTTCAGAAATATTCTAACTATAACTTTATATTGACAATTTCAAGAATTTTTTAAAAAGACAGTACTCGCTCGAAAAAATAAACACTTGCCTACGTGAACACTGGTTTACGTGGATGCTATGTTGTTTTAAATTTTGCTCTCTACAAAATTAACAAAAATATTAGACTCAAAGACCTAATTCTACACTGAGCTAAACGCTAAGAAAAAATGTTAAGCGTGACTTGATGTGTTTACATACGTGTTTACATATATTAATTTTATTGAGACTGGTACTTCTTAATAAGGTGATACATATTTAGATCAAAAAACAGTTTCATTAGCTTGTTAAGCTTACATTTACGTCTAGATACGTTTCGTAATCAGTAATTGTCTATTTAACTTCTCAAACACTAGAACTGAATCACGCTGATTCATATATACGCTAACGCTACATCCTCACCAATTGTGGCTTTATTTAGTTTATGTTATCGAGCTAGCGGTGTAAAAAGCTAGCGATATTTATTACTCAATACATCCTAAGTACCACTCAGTTCGTTGTAGAACTTAGACATGTGCAAAATTTTCTAATTTGTTAGGCACTTAGAAATAAAAAAAATATTTACTTAGTCTTGATTTATAATAACATGCTCATTTCGCAGATATTAATATCAGTTATCATAGGATATATATATATATATATATTAATACTTATATATATTACAAATAAGTATATAATGAAAACAGAAAGTTTTATTTATGTTATGAATAAGTCATTTTTAAACAGTACCTAGTTTTTAAATATATATTCTTATATACCTTATATATTCTTATATACTTCAAAGAAATTATTTATTAAAATTCGAAAATATATTATTCTAACGCTTGATTTTGTGTGTGTGATTTTTTTTTTAAATATTAAAGAGTCATAGCAAAAAACGATTTCCAATACATTGTTCTATAACAAAAATAAATAATGAAATATCATATGAGTAGTTATATAGACTAATTATTTTTTAAATCGTTGTATATTCTTCTATATACTCAAGAGAAATATTTTTTGAAAATGTATGTTAATATAAGCCAATAACGTCTAATTTAACAAATGGAATTTTTTTAAAGTATTCGTTAAATTAAAGAAGTCATTATATTGAATGAATACATTAAATGACATAGATGCCCGGTTCACACTTTTAGTATATTGATTCTTGTAATTCTTATAATACTTGCTCAGGCCTATATTCAGAAATTAAGTTCTGGATGGTTTATTCAACAGTCATGTTCTATAAATAATGAATATGTTTGTTTTTGAATATATGCCTTTGATTCATTTTGGGGTCTTCAGTTTCTTCAAATACATGATTGTCCTATAAAAACTAACTTACAGTAACATACTAGAGAATCTTAGTCAGCTGCAGAAATTCTCTTTAAATTGAAACTCTATTGTTGAATTATCTGTCCAACTTTAGCTTTTAAATAAAACCGGCTTGTACTTTTTTTGACATTTCACCAGATTGTTCATAGGTAGAGTTGGAAAATTTATTAAATCACATAAATTCAACAATATGGGTCTAGTTTTTATCTCTTCATGTTTCTGATAGAATTATAAAATAGCGAATAATTATTAATTATGCGAATCAACCAACCTTTATCTTAGGGGTTAGAAAATTTTTCAAAGACTTCAAGGTGTATGTCTCTCCATATAAAACGTTGGAGAAACATAAGCCCTACACATGAGTCTTAATAATTATTTTAATGGTTTCTACGTTATAATGCACATGAAAGTAATAACTTACGATATATTCGTGTTCATATATATGTGTACAAAATTTTATTATTTAATGAGGATGATGGTCAAACTATTCTATTAGTTAATCTTTCTTTAATTATCAATTTAACCACAATCTTCTCATGAAAAGTTGATATTGCTAATAAAAATTAGTCAAATTAAAGTTGGTAGTGACCCATTGATATACCCTTTGTTTCTTTTATACCTAAAAACGTTTAAGTAGTTTGTATTACTCTTACTATTATGATATCATTGTAATTATGATCGATGGAGTATTATCTTCATTAGCTACAGCACAGTGTTATATTAAATGTAGTCTGCAGAATCAGTAATAGAATATTGTGGTTCATAATCGAAATGCATTCGTTTATTGTATTAATACTAACTACTAGTTAAGTTATTACATTTCTTAAAAATTTAAATGGTTTTAATAAATAAGTAATAAATACTAAACATATTTTCCTATATAAAACACAAATTTTTTTTATATAAATTTTTTAACAATATTTTTTAATTTTTTTAAATATTTTTTATAATTTTAAGTTTCTGATTTAATTTTATGAATAATTTTTTTAATTTTTAATTTATAATTTTTAATTTTGGTTCACAATTTTTTAATTAATTTTATAATTTCTATTTTATTTTATATTTTTTTTTTTCATAATATTTATTTCAGAATGTTATTGTCAGAATATTGTTTTGATTTTTTAATTTTGTTTATATTTAATAACTTTAATTATTATTTCATAATTTTTATTTTAAAATACTAATTATTATTATATTATCATTTTTGTTTTGCAACTTTGAATTCAAATTGTTTATTCATAATTTCCTAATTATAATTTCATAATTTAGTTTTCATTTTATAATTTTATTTTTCTTATTATATTAATTTTTATTTTTTTTATTTTAAAATACATATTTTTATTTAATAGTTTTCATTTTTGCTGTATTATTTGATTTTTATATATTAATTTTTATATTAAAATTTTAATTTCTTAATAAGTATTTTTTTTTCATAATATTGTTTATCCTATAATTTTATTTTTTTATTTTATTCACATTTTGTAATATTTAATTTATGAGGCCCATTTGCAGCTTACAATTTTTTTTTTAGTTTATAATTTTATTTTAATTTTTTTTCGTTTTTATTTAATAGTTGTATAATAATTCTTTTATAACTACATATTTTTTTTATAAATTATTTCTATTTTATTGTTTTTTTTTATGATATCATAATTTTGTTTTTTTTATTGTTTTATTTTATAAATCTAATTTTATTCTTATTATTTGGCCTTTTTAATATATACATAAAGACTAAAATTAAAACACGGCTAATATAGCTAATATATGCATTATGGAAAAATTAATATTTAGTTGAAAACTAACAAGTCTTTGATAACTTAATATAAATGTATTTGTGTAACTTGAGCATATTATGAAAAATTTTGACTTATGTTTATATATTTTTATTGTCTATGTTTCAAATTAATTTTAAATTAACATAAAAATTATTCTAATTTGTATGATATCAAATTTTATATTATTTTTAATGAAAAAAGTTGATCTTTATATTATAAACAACATATTTAATAA